ATGTAATTGTAGTAATCATATAATTTAAAATCAATAAATCATAATTATATATAATTATACATACATAGACGCACGTAATTATAGTAATATTATAATTTAACTCAATCAATCATAATTATATATAATTATACATATATGAACGCACGTAATTGTAGTAATACTATATTTGAAATCAATCAACCATAATTATAATATATATAGAAGCACGTAATTATAGTAATACTATATTTGAAATCAACCAACCATAATTATATATAATTATACATATATAGACGTACGTAATTGTAGTAATACTGTAATTTAACTCAATCAGTCATAATTATATATAATTATACATATATATAGATGGTCATAATTATAGTAATCATACAATTAAATCAATCAATCGATCAATAATTATATATTTTATGTATTCACACATATATATTAGTTTATTTCTTTAAGAAGGAATCTTCGTAACTTATATTTCACATATAAGGAATACTTAATTCCATCCAAATTTTCCCATATATATATGTACACTATATATTAGTGCTACACACACACACACACACACACACACTTCATACATATTCATATCATATGTGTGTGTGTGTATGGTTAAGGAAATTACACTTGTAGTCCCTCAACTATTGCCCGATATGCAATTTGATCCCCTAACTTTAGTCATCTTGCACTAAGGTCCTAATTTTCATAATTAACCACCAAAAAAGATTTTGGGATATTATAGGGTATCCCATCATTGATCTTTCCCCTCCTTGTAATAGCAGTACTTTGTGTACTGTAGTTCTAATTAGTGTTGACCGATCTATACATAAGAAGTACTTGAAGAAGTTTCATCATATAGATTGATATAATTTCGGTCACTTAGTTTTGTTTCCATACTCACTTTCATGTGGTAATAACTTTCTTCCCAGGCAAAAATACTTGATTTGAAGTTTGATTATAGATTCAATATAGTTTTGATATTTAGTGGGTGGTAATTAGTGGTAAACCTAATATTATAGTTTGTCCAGTTGACTGGTATTGTATGAATCATGGACAATCCTAGTGGGGTGATGTGTTTGATACACATTGGGCACGACACTCTAGGAAGTGTATGTAACATGCCATGTGGTGTGTCCTATATTTTTTGTAGTTTTTAATTTTTCAACACTTAAACCGACACTTCTAGGACATGCCATGTGGCATATCCTATATTGTTTATATTTTTTTTATAACGCGCAAGGAACATGTCTGTGACACATCAAGGATACAAAATGCCTATTTTGTAAACTTTTGGAATATAAAATTAGGGGAATTTTTAAGTATTAGAACATTTTTGTAAAGAATTCAAAATTATGCAAGAAAAACTTTCTGAACTTGTTGATTTTGTTTTTATATCTATTATATGCATTTATTTTCTGGAAATAATAATATGTAGTTTAAATTCAAATAATCGTAATACAACAAATAGACACTCGTTTGATTTAAAAGATGTCACCAACAAAAATAAAATTAAAAGATAGTATTGATTTTATTGAAAGATACTAAAACGAAAATATAACGAGGGTGATTTGGAATAATTATAGGAGAAGGGAAAAGGAAAGAGAAGAGAATGAAGGGAGATAGAAGGAGGGAGCTAGAAAGGGAAGGGGAATTTGACGGACGGAAGGGAGAGAAGGAGATGATTTTTTATATCAAAGCTTTTTTTATTACAAAGCATAACACCCCTTTATATAAAGTTTCAAAATATCTTATTCTATGTAGGAAATATTATAAGTCAAATCCTAATTATGTTTCCTAAAATAAATATCAAAATTGGAAACTAATTTAGAGCTTGTTTGGTAGAGATTAAAATCTGATTAAAATTGAAAAATTAGCCGTTATTATTAACTTTTATTAGACGAGTGAGACCCAATAACGGCTATATTTTCAATTTTAATTGGATTAAAATCCCTCCCAAACAAGCTCTTAGTTAATTTCTCTTATATTTCCTTGGTTACGAAAACTTGACTTTGACAAGAAAGACTGCTATTTCTTAACCAAGGAGAGCGACCGACCAAATAACGGAACCAATCATGCGATGATAACTGAATCTGAAATCATTCCCAACATCTAATGTGACTAAGGGGACGATATTTCCTTTTGACCAAGTAGCGATAAGAAACTCCAATAAACAACATGTGCAATTCATTCACAAAAGTTATCATGGAATTTACATGAGTAGCACAATGCACTAACACAGTGGAAGAAATAAATAACTGCAACAACGGTGGCTCAAATGTGCCTCGATAAGGTAACAATCTGCTTTATCGAAAAAAAAAAAGACATTCATTTTAGTGTAATGGCAAGTTGATAGATTATGTCCAAATGAGTGACCCGTTTTGTTTCTTTACAAGTGTTGGAAATCATATCAAAGAAACACGTAACAAAGCATAAATTCACCATGAAAGCATCTTTGCTGAAAGTGTGCGTCAAATGCAAGCTCATAAGTTTCATGATTAAAAATAATTTGTCAAACTTTGCATCAAAATCAACGAAGTACGTAGCTAAAACAGTATGACAGTAATTAGTAAGTGACAACTTAATGTCGATAGAGAAAGTGTGTAAACGAACAATGACTTTAAAAAAGCGACAACTCGGGCAGTAACACAGAGTAGAGGTAAAGCCATATCGAAGTCAACGTTAGAGTCACACAAAATATTAGGAAAGAACAATTTTGGCCTGACATCAGGACAAGTGAACTATTTGGCTTAGGGGCAACACCATGAATAATTCTTTATCCTCGCTATCAGAATATTAATTGGCTAATAATAGAACATTTTTATCTTCCACAAGAGTAATACAACTAGACTTGTGAAGTGATTGTTGGGACTAGGGTCGTAGACCTAGCCTATTACTGCTTGGCGAAGCCAGAAGGATATGTACAAGATATGTACCAAAGGATTGATTGCTGGTGAGTGTCCTCTAAGGATTGGGGTGTAGGAATGTTGTCAGGTAAGATTTCAGAATTCAACTCACCGAGAAACCTAGATGTTGTAATGGGGAGTTTCATAAATACCACAATTGTGTAATAACTCTTCGAAATGGCTAAATATTCCTAACACTGGATGTACCTTATTTACAGCGCAAAAAGTATTGATCAATCAATTGAGTATTATAGTACACAGGAGCATATCTATTACTAAGACATGTTTCATCTTATCCCACAAATTGATAGGGCCTTGACCTAGGAGATCAAGTCACGCAAATATGACTTCATATAACACAGCAGATCCTACAAATGCCATATTAGCATGACAAAGACAATGAGACTACTCAAGTTATGAAAGATGGAGAAATTTTCAAGTGAATCAAGCCATTCAAGAAATGAGATGTCACCTAAAATGGTGGGGAAATGACTAATATCCGTGATGGCTGGTTCATGTCCAGGTCATGCCTAGAAAATTCGGGTGTGACTGCAGTCACTGCGACACAGGCAGTCATCGCAGGCAGATTGCAGGACGCAGCCAGGACATGGCCAGACACAGACTGCAGTCGCGTCACGACGCAGGCAGCACAGCAACACAGAATGCAGGCTGCCTGACATGGGGAGTGACATGGGCGCGACATGGGCAGTAAATCCCAGCATACCAGGTGGTTTTCTGTAGGAAAATACTATGGGCAGATTGCTGGGATATTTTGGGAAGACTTGTTCAAGTTGGTTACTTAACCAACTTGTAAGAGAATGGCCAAGGGAGGAAGCAAAACTCAAATTGATGTCTATGAAAGGGACATTAATCACATGGGATTTTTGTAGGGAAAATCCACTTGCAAAGAAGCAAAATCCAAGTTTGCTTCCACTTGGTCTAAGGAGGTTTAAGGCAAATTGTAGCCAATGGGGACCCTTGGATGGGGATTGATGAGGATTGATCCTAGCCATTAAATCTAAGGAGGTTTACATGGGATTTGCCTATAAATAGGGATGGAGTCCCATTGTAATTTCTAGATTGGAATCCATTAGAATTTCTAGTATATGTGAGTTGAGAGAATTGTTGGAAGGCATGTAATTTATGGGATTCATGCTATTCTTATAATTCTTAGATCACATTGTAGATTATATTGGTGTGGAGTTTTTATACAAAGAGAGATTTTCTCCCAAACTTACTTGTTTCTCGATATTGTCTTTATTACTTCAAATCTCATACTCAAAGTTTGTCTTGATTTAGCCTACAAGATTGAATCATTTTGGGGCGTCGAAAGGCTGACTTAGCGCTTTCTCGTAGGGACGGGAATTGTGTTGCGTTAAGACCACACGGTGTCTAGTTTTTCTAGTGTAAGAAATCTAGCCCCGTGACAGATGGCTGGAGTAGGTTGGCTGATAGATATAGGCCGAAGGCGAAAATGGAGCTGCAAGAGAGCTATCGTCTTCTCCATTCAAGGATGATGATGGGGTTGCCTTGTGTGGAGCTGTTGCATCATGGGCCAAAGAACCATTAAAAGGAAGCCCGGGGTATGAACCAAGAGTGGATCCCCTTTCTCATAATAGTGCTTGACAGAGACAGGGACGTTCAGTCTTTCAAAATAACTGGTTTGCTCTGTAACCTAGCTTGCTCAATAATTGGCAGGAAAGGCTTTGGGTCGACCCTGGTAACAAAAAAGGAATCCATAAAAACTTAGGATCTGACACATACGCGATGCGAGTAAAAAAAAAAGTTTGGACGAAGGCTTAAGTTCATTTGAGAGGTTAGGTACTAACAACTAGTAAGCTAGAAAGAATAGGCTAATAAGCTCTTTGCAAGAAAATTCCCCTGTCCGGATCTNTTTTAGAGAAATTATCTAAATAAAAGGAACCTCTAGGAATGCAACATCGTCGAAAAATAAAAATGACCGAAAAAGTTTTTCGATTGCTGGAGAAAATTGGAGACTTTTAAAAGAAAAAAAAAAAAAAAAGGCGCTATCAAGTTGGAGATCAGGAGAGGTTAAAGCCTTGACAAGGATTTCTTTTTGTTTGGTTGACTTGAGCTTATGAAGGTGGTTTAGGTACGAGGAAATTGTGGAAGAAAGTAAAAAAGAACCTCAATTTCAGCTGTTTCCTCACACTGATGATATCTTAGAATTTCTAAAAGCACCTCAATTGCCACACTTTTAGCCATTGCTTCAGCACTGGTAGAGTCATCAGTCTCCAGCACCAGAAGAGCATTAAGCGTGCCAGTAAGTGTGCTTTCTAAGCCTGAGCGAAGGAGCCTTACCAATACTGCTACAGGCACTTCCAAGTAATTTGATGAAAGAATCCTGCACAGCACTTCTGCGGCGTTCATCTCAACATCTTGAACTGCAAGGGCTCTTGATGGGTTCTCACTCAGCAGTCTAACAAGTGCACCAATAGCAGCGTGATGTTCCTTCTTCAATCCAGTATTTAGAATTTCAACCAAAGGTTGAACTGCTTGCCTGGCAGATTTTGTATTCCTGATGTAATCAGCAGAAAATAGGTTTTCCAATGCTTTCGCAGCACTATACCTTGCTGTTCTTCCACCTAAATGCAAGACTGCCACAAGCTGACTGACAGCACCAAACGCAGATTCTTGTCTCCTTATCTCAGCGGTGCTAACAAGAATACCTTGGAGATCAGTAGTTGCCTCCTCTGTGGCATCTTGAGGGCCAGGAGAAAAATATTTTGTCAACCCTTCCAAGGCCCCTGACTCTACCATAACAATCTGATTAGGACAATCTTTAGCAACTTGGATTAGAAGCCCCAGAGATAGAAAAGGTGCCCCAGGGCGATCTGGAATTGGTTTAAGCAAATCAACAAGGACTGGTATAGCTTTTCTAGACGTTGCACCGACCCTAATGTCATCAACACTAAACAATCTCTCAAGCAAGGAAGGAAGTCCCACTGCTGCTCCTGAATTTGCAACAGATTGAAGAGTTCTCCTGCTACTGTTACGGACAAAAATCGTGCGGCAAAATATCTGTCTGCCGAATCCTCTGATCTCAATAAATTAGCTAGTACTGGTATTAGTTTCATAGTTGCATTTCCCGGGATGATATCCCCGTCTTGAAGCAGAACTGCAACTACAGAATTTTTTTTTTTTGAAGGAGGGGGGGGAAGTCAAAAATTTTTGTGGGGTCACTTGAGACCCCATGTGGGTCTGCCCCTGGTTGTAGTTGGGGACGGAGTGCCATCTATCAAAGGTTCAGGTGGTGTGCCATGACTAGAAGCAGCTGGTGATGGAGATGACTGCTCGTCCACAGGTTGCTGAAGACTCCAATAAATTTTACTTGCCGGAAGAGTAAGCATCATCTTTTGGTTTACTAAAAACATCAAAATTGAAAACTAATTTTAATCTCTCTTATAATATTCCATCATATAACTTATTAATGTATAATTGTAAATAATTTAAATCGACATGTCCCCCGATGTGTCCGAGTCTTACTTTGAAAATCATGTGTCGGCATCTCCGTATCGTGTCCGTATCCATGTTTCTTAGCTAGTACTTGGACATGAGTATGATGCATCATACTGCTCCCCAGAGAGAGTTTTGATGAAAGCCTCTTGAATAATCTCGATTAACTTCTGTTGTAGGAGCAAATCGTTTTGTCAGTTATAATTCTAACTATTGTTTCTTTTTCAGATTTTGATCTATCTGATGCCCAGATCAAGCATGCATTGGGTGTTGAACGTCTAGCGCAAAGATTAGCCGCTCTTAGATATGAACTTTGCCCTGCCCATATGAGTGAGGGTTACTTTTGGATGGTCTATTTTGTTCTTCTGCTCTCAAGATTAAATAAACATGATGCTGATCTTTTGTCTACACCGCAAGTGAGTGAGTATTGCACATTATTATCTTTGTTGTGCTTTTAAATTTTTCTGTATAGCAATCTGATTTTATACATCTTGAATGAGATATGCTAATTGAGATCTAAAAGTTGTTTTGGGCCTGTCTGCCTATTTTTATAGAAGTGCCTTTTTTATTAGAAGAGCTTTTAGAAAATGCTGGTCCAGCATAAAAAAGAGGATCCTATCAACTTGTTCCGAGGATAATAAGCTCATGAACTTGGCCTTACTTCAACGTTCGAGAACCAAAATTACTTCCGGAATAAGAAACTCTTTTAAAAATTAATTTTCAAACAAAAATTAAGATAGCTTCCTCCAAAAGCTCTTCTAGAGGAAGCAAAAGCAAAAGTCATGCCAATGCTTCCACTGTGAAGTGTAAATATTTTTGCCAATTTGCTTTGCAGCTCATGGAAGCAAGAGCTATGTGGATGCAAGAGCTACAGAAGCGAACCAAGGCTGAGTCAGATTGGTTTGGAATTTGTACTTTTTATTCAAAAGAAAGTGTGGATTCACCACTTGAGATCTTTTCTGCATCCTCATTTGAAGATGGTCATTATGGGAATATGTCAGGCACAACCGTTCCTTTTGATACAGTGACATGCAAATCAACAAATTATTGTGAGATAGAAAAGCAACCTCTTGAAATTAATGAAATCCAGTTCATCGACAAGTCCGTTATTGAAGAAGATCCTGCAAGCAAACCCGTGGAAAAGGAGATAGTTCTAGGTCCATCTATAGAAATGCAAGTACAGGATTATGATGACGATGATGATTGGCTAAATGAAGACCCCGATTTAGTTGAGTGCTCTGGCACCACGTTTTTCGGAAATGGGGAAGATGTATCATTCAGTGATCTTGAAGATGATGTTGATTGCGCTATGCCTGTGAAAACGAAAGTAGTCTCCAGTGATGGGAATAAACTAACTAAAACTTCATGAGTGTGGCGTGCAAAAGCAGATGTGTCTGATATTTTCCAGGGTTGATCTGCCTCTTGGTCTCCTTTTGGCACTCCGAGACCCCAAAGATCTGTGTGATGCTTGCAGGGATGACTCACGAGTTGCCTTTGCAAGATTGGAAGTGTTAAAAGAGTTCCCACTGAGTGTACTCGAGGCGCTTGCCAGGACTGTCAATAATGAACGACACCTGGAGGTTAGCTCTTGTAAAAATGTTGCTGGTGCAAAGAACCTCCTATCACAGGGTGCTGAAGTTTCCTACAAGTTGATGATGACACTGTCAATTTTTGATTCATTGTTGAAGGTAACGCACGCCACAGAGAAGAAAATCTTTGGTCTTTTTTTTTTTTTTTTTGTTCTCCCTTATAATTTTTGATTGCATGCCTGCCTATAATATGCTGTAAGATAAAAGTTTTCTGCTCCTATTGTCTTCTGTTACCCGTTTCTCTTGTTTTGAGTCACAGCTTGATATTCACAGAAGAGATGATTGTGTGAGTACATGTAAAGTTTTTGTGATTACTGAAAATAAAACTTGTTAAAATCACCATTATTCAGCTTTTATGGACTTGTATTTAGGGTGTGTTTGGTAGGGATTTTTGGGGGAAGAATTGATTTTTGAATAGTGATATGATGAGAAATGTGTGGTTGAAAAAGAAGAAAAAATTATTGATGTGATGGAAAATATTATTTTATTGAAGAATGTGTGATTGAAAATGAGAATTGATTTACTGTAGAAAATGAGAATCTGTATCAAACAGGCTCTTATTTTTGTTGATGAAAGATGACAACGTTGACAGTCACTGTCTAGTTTCCATATCAAACGAAGTTATAAGGAAAAATACATGTGGTAAATATCATCTGCGGTCAATGAACTTTCAGTTGGTGCCGGCCGCACTTATGGGTTGGGCTTGGATGGGTGTAGATTCAATGACAATCAAGCCCAATCCACCATTGGGCCAAATGGACAAGTCTTGGGTAGGGGCCGGATTAGGCTAACCTGTGGATTCTACTTTGGAAGTGTCTAGGTGGTTCAAAAAATTGTATGCCCTTCAAATCTCATGGTCCAAGTGCGCTTTTGAATTAAAACGTGATAAACCAAAAACTTAATAGCTTATAAAAATTATACTTGAATAAAAAATCTAATGGACATTCTTATTAGGGTAACGTTTGGACAAGTATCGTGTGATGTTGAATATCTACAATCTTATAATATTCAAGGATGTGTCAAGTAAGCCACTTGTAGTGTCCTAATTTGTATATGTGTTTTTGATTTTGGATATCAAGGGATACTTTATGTACACTTCTCGATAGCGTGTTTGACATCTCATAAATTGACGTATTCCTTACATGTCCATATTTTACTTTTTAAAAAAATTATGAGTTAATGTGTGCGTATCGCACATCCATATCATATCATGTGTATGCACATGTTAATACTTCTCAAGTATTACTTATATCTCATGTTGCAAATATTGAGTTATGTGTTCATATAATATAGTTTTGCCGATATAAAATAATATTTGATAATAAATAAGTTATGGTTTTTATTTATTGTGTTACTATATTTATTTAATATTGAGCATGAAAATTAAAGTTCATATGATTACTTGTGATAATACAAGTTGTGTGTTGATGAGTGTAAATCACTCATCGAGCTAATACCTTTAAAACATAGTTTTCGACTTGTTCTTGAGCACTTTTGAGTATGTATTTGTTCATGTTGTTTTGTAATTTAGGTAATTTGGAGAAAATGACTATTATGGAGCTTGGGATGGAGCCATGTGTTGATCAAGAAGTGGGCTTGAAGAGGAGGTGAAAGAAGAAGAAAAATGAAGTGGAAAAGAGGCAAAAACGGAAGCAAATAAATGAAGGAATTAACGGGCGCCACAGCGCTACAAGTGGGCGCCAAGAAGGACCCAGAATCAGCAACAAGCTGGGTGCTGCGGTGCCAGCTCTTGGGTGCTGCACCGCCCAGCTGGGATAAAAGCAGCAGAATTCGTGACGCTGCGACGTCGCTTCTCGAGAAAGAGAAAACAATTTTTTTTGGTAAATTTTTCGGCCCGGTCCACTCCAATCCGTCTTGATATTTTAAGAGACTATAAGTACAAACTTGAAGACCTAGTTTACAGATGTGAAGACGACTTAGGAGGCAAGGAAGAAGATGATCATTGAGAGCAAAAATGACAACAATTTGGAAAAGAATTCAAGCGGCAAAATAATTTTTCTTATTCTTTTCTTCTACATGTTCTTTATTTTAGATTTTAATATGTTGTTTCTTGTATTGATGAACTAAATTTATTATCTAGGGTTTGATGTAACTAAACTTGAGACATGTTTGTATTCTAATATAGTTATTTCGTTTGATTCTTCCATTTTGTGTTGATTATTGCGTAATGCTTTCAATTATCTGATCAATAATTGAATGATTTGATGCCTTAATTTTCAGTACTCGAGAGAAGGAGATTTAAGCGTGATCTAAAAATAACATAATCTAGATTTTGTAGATTTTGAGAGAAAATATAAAATCTTTGAGGCTTGTACCATTTAAGAACCTTGCACATGATAATTTCTATAGTTTTAATTTGGAATAGAGATATTGGAATTAAAATATAGAAATAAGTTCTATTCGGCACTCGAGATAGGGAATAGAATTAACCTAAGGTTCTTGTTACGCAAAAATCTCGCAAGTGTACGAGTTTGTTGTACAAGTAATAATTGTGATGAGTGAGTTATCGTCCCACAGGGAATAAGGCTCAATTTTAGAGTATTCGATATATTTAAATTCGCAAATGTAACAAAAGATGGTTGATTTTTAGTTGATTACGTTCTATAACTACGAAAGCAATAAAAAAAA